ATAGTCACAAATATAAACTATCTTAGGATGACTTTAATCAAACACGTTAAAGACCTGTATGACAAGAACTTTTAAGTCTCTAAAGAAATAAACTGAAGAAGACATCAGAAAATGGAAAGATCTCCCATGCTCTTGGATAGGTAGGAGCAACAAAATAAAAATGGCAATTCTATCAAGAGCAATCTACAGATTCAATGCAATCCCTATCAAAATCCCAACACAACTCTTCATAGACCTTGAGAGAACAATATTCAACTTCATATGGGAAAACAAAAAAACCCAGAAAAGCTAAAACAAAACTGTACAATAAAGGAACTTCTGGAAGCATCATCATCCCTGACATCAAGCTCTACTATACAGGTATAGTAATAAAAAGAGCATTGAAGACCCTGACATTTATCCACACACTTATGAACACCTGATTTTTGACAAAGAAGCCAAAAAGGTACAATGGAAAAAGGAAAACATCTTTAACAAGTAGTGCTGGCATAACTGAATGTTAACATGTGGAAGACTACAAATAGACCCATATCTACTGCCTTGCACAAAACTCAAGTTCAAGTGGATCAAGGACCTCAACATAAACAGTTACACTGAATCTGATAGAGAAGAAAGTGGAAAGTAGCCTTGAACACACTGGCACAGGAGACCACTTTCTAAATATAACCCCAGTAGCACAGACACTGAAAGTAACAATCAATAAATGGAACCTCCTGAAACTGAGAAGCTTCTGTAAGGCAAAGGACATGATCAACAAGACAAAACAACAGCCTATAGAATGGGGAAAGATCTTTGCCAATCCCACATCTGATAGAGGGCTTATCTCAAAAATAAATAAAAAGCTCAAGAAATTAGACACCAAAATGTAAGCAGTGACTGCTCTTTCATTCCCAGCCGACCAGACCCAATAACCACACAGAAACTATATATAATTACAACACTGTTTGGCCTATTAGCTCAGGCTTCTTATTAACTAACTCTTACATTATAAATTAACCCATTTCTATTCATCTGTGTATCACCACAAGGCTGTGGTCTACTGTCAAGGTTCCAGCATCCTTCTCCTTCAGCAGCTTGTCTCCCTGACTCTGCCTACTCATCTCTGTTCAGATTTCCCCGCCTGGCTTTACTCTACTAGCCATTGGCTGAAACAGCTTTATTCATTAACCAATAAAAACAGCACATATACAGAAGGACATCCCACATTACCAAAATTGTGGATGCCCAAAAATGTGAGCCTATTGCCACCTTGTCTGAAGGTCAGAGAGTTTGAAGTCACTCAATTGTTAACAACAATCAGGGCTTCACATCCTTAGTCAGGGTGTGGTTACTTAGTTCTTTTGACATTAAGAAGGCCCACACAGCTAGATCCACTACACCCTTACCAATGGTCAGGAAATTCAAGCATACTTCTGCTCTTCTTTTGAAATAGGAGAATTGACCTTGGAGTGGCTGCCTTCAGGATACTTGGTCTAGGGTGGGTTCACTGCCTAAACAACAGAATGCTAATGACTTGATGTCTCAAAGTACTGAAACAAATAACTGTTCTGGTTGTCCTTTGTGTCATGTTAAAGCAGTCTTTTGTCTTCTTCCCCTGGTGTGGGAGAATTGTCTGTATTCTGTCAATCATATTTTAATAAAATGCTGATTGGCCAGGCAGGCAGTATAGGCAGGAAAGCCAGACAGGAAGTAGGGGTGGAGCAATGAGAACAGGAGAATTCTGGGAAGCAGGGAAGTTCCTCTGCCACTCCTGGGCAGACCACCGAAGAGGCAACATGTAAGCTGTCACATTGAGAAAGGTACTGAGCCCGTGTGGCTAACATAGATGAGAATAATGGGTTAATATAAGTTATAAGAGTTAACAAGAAGCCTGACCTAATGGGCCAATCAGTTTATAACCTAATGTAGACTCTGTGTGATTTTCCTTGGGACTTGCTGGCTTGTTGGGGTACTGGGCGGGACAGATACCCCAACAAGCCGGCCCTCATGTTACATTTCCCCTGTGGTATTGGGGTGTAAAAGTGTATGGAAAATGAAAAGTGGGCAATGTCAGTATTCACTGGATGCCTTCCCAGTACTATTCCATGGTTTCTGTTTCATTATTTTTAAATGCATCCCCGTATTCTTTACTTATATTTCTAAATACCATTGCCCCTACCCTGGAAAGTCGTATTTTTGTTGAGACTGGTCCCTCTCACAAAATACCAAACAATTCAATTTTAAAATGGCGTGGAGAGCTAAACAGAATTTTTTCAACAGGAGAAACTCAAATGGCCAAAAGACACTTAAGGAATCGTTTAATATCCTTAGTCATCAGGGAACTGTAAATCAAAACAACTCTGAGATTCCATCTTACACCTATTAGAATGGTCAACATCAAAAACAGTGATGACAACTTATGCTGGAGAGGTTGTGAGGAAAAAGGAACACTTCTGCATTGTTGGTGAAATTGCAAGCTGGTACAACCATCTGGAAATAAGTATGACTATTTCTCAGAAAATCAGAAATCAATCTACCTCAACCAGCAATATCACTCTTGGGTATATATCCAAAGGATGCTCAATCATACCACAAGGACATGTGCTCAACTATGTTCATAGAAGCATTATTTGTAATAGCCAGGACCTGAAAACAACCTAGATTCCCTTCAACTGAAGAATGGATAAAGAAAATGTATACATTTTCACAATGGAGTATTACTTAGTGGAAAAAAAAAACATTGACATCATGAAATTTGCAGGTAAATGGGCGGAACTAGAAAAAAAAAACCATCCTGAGTGAGGTAACCCAGACCCAGAAAGACAAACATGTATGTACTCATAAGTGGATAGATGATATAAAGCAAAGAATAACCAGACTACAATCCACAGCTCCAGAGAAGCTAGAACCTTCTTCCAGTAATATATGGAACCAGATACAGAGATCCACAACCAAGCACCAGGCTGAACTCAGGGAGTTCAGTCGAAGAGAAGGAAGAGGGATTATATAAGCAAGGGAGGTGACGATCATGACGGAAAAATCTACAGAGATAGCTGAATCAAGCTCGTGAAAACTCATGAACTCTGGACAGACAGCTGTAGAGCCTCCATGGGTCCACTAGGCTCTCCATATGTGGGAGTCAGTTGTGAAGCTTGGGTTACCTGAGGGGCCCCTGGCAGTGGGTCCAGGATCTATCCCTGGTGTAGGAGATAGCTTGTTAGTGTCCATTGCCTATGAGGGGATGCCATGCTCAGCCTTAATGCAGAGGGGAGGGGTTTGGTCTTGCCCCAAATTAATGTGTCAAGCAGTGTCAATTTCCCATAGGACCCCCTTATCTTTTGGGAGGAGTGCATGGTGGGTAGGCTGGAGGGAGGCAAGGGGGAGTGGGAGGAGGGAGGCAAAGGGGAGTGGGAGGAGGGATAGGAGGGAGAACCTTGGTTAGATTGTAAAATGAATTAAAAAATAAATAAATGTTTAAAAAATGTATTGAAGTACATCATTCCACTTAAAGCTTAAAAATTAAAGCTGGGCAGAGTTGGTGTATTCTGAAATGGACACAGGAAAATTTCAAGTTCAAGACCAGCTTGGATTACACAGTAAGACCTTGTCAAAGAAAACAGAGAAGAAGAAAAGAGAAGGAGGGACAGGGGAGTAAAGAGACAGGAAAAAACAAAGAACAAAAAGAAAAAGTAAATTCAAACCAGGTAAAATTAATCTGGGTGTTTGAAGTGAGCATTGTCCCTTCATCTGGGCTGTCTGGATGGGAGCTGACTCAAGAGCAGCTAAAGAGCTCGTATATCCCTTTCTTGATTTAGAAGTAAAGGAAACTCAATTTCTGAAAATTTATTCAGCTAAACATGTATAATTTGTACACAAACTTCACTGGAAAGGTTGTTAAGTGTCATTTTGGGGACTAGAGAGATTGCTTAGTCAGTGAAGGTCTTGCCACAAAAGCATGAAGACCTGAGTTTGGGATTCCCAGCAGGCCATGCAAAAAGCCAGGCACATGCCGATAATTACACGCCTGTACGTGCATGGGGGGAAATGGAGACAGAAAGACTCCTGGGGCTTGCTGGCCAGCAATCCAGCTGAGTGGGTGAACTCCATGTCCAGGGATACTCTGTCTCAAAAATAAGTTGGAAATCAAATTGAGGAAGACACCCAGAGTCAGCCTCCGGCCTCTACACATACATGCACACATGCACAGATGAAAACAGCTTTAAAAATGATAATAAAATGTCATACTATATATTGGCGACACAAATATTTTCTGTATGAAACAAAATTAAAAAAAAAATCAAGCTGGGCAGTAAGGACACATGCCTTTAATCCCAGCACTTGGGAGGCAGAGGTAGATCTCTGAGTTCAAGGCCAACCTGGTCTACAGAGTTCCAGGAAAGCCAGAGCTGCACAGAGAAACCCTGTTTCAAAAACAAAAACAAAAAAACAAAAAACAAAATAACTAAACACTATACTAAGACAAAATTTCCCCCTGGAATTTAAGAGCTAGAACTCAGTACTGGCAATATGACTCAGTAGGTAAAGCTGAGTTGATCCCTGGAGCCCACATAAAGTTCAAAAGAGAAAGTTGATGTCCTCTGACCTCCACGCATGCAACATGGCACATGTATCCTTATACACACAAAGATAAAACATTGAAAAAATATTTGAATTATTAAACCCCAAAGCTCTCCACTGGAAAACGTTAGAGGAACACTCTGCAGAGCTCATGAGGGTTCTTCTCATGGCATTTTACCTGGGCTCTCTGGGGCTCTGGAAGGAACAGTGTGCCTAGGGGAGGTTGAGCCTTGGAAGAAGCATGTACAGCAATGGGCTGTGTCTCCAACCATCCCAATAAGAGTGGGGTGGGTGTGGCATAGAGCACATGTCCACAACCATCTAGAAACTGAGTGTTTCAAGGAAACTGATGCCCAATGTGCGTGCACACTGCAGTCCCAGCACTCGGGAGATAGACAGCAGACTCATACACCTGAGGGGAAAGGAGAAAAACATTAACCTACCTGGGCTAGGGCCATAGTGTTAGAACTGCAGAAGCTGGTTGACTCTTCACTGTTTTTCTATGGAAAACTGGGGTTCAGACAAGCAAAGCTGGAATAAAAAGAACCTATGAGTCCAGATATGCCTAAAAGTTCCCAAATTAACTCATGTTAGTAAGAGCAGCTTTCCCCTCTCCCACCGCCATCTTGCTTCTGAATCATTCCTCATTACTGTACCCATTCCCAAGCCCACCCCAGACCAGAGATTTCTATAGAAAGCTCTTGAGGCAACCCAACACAAGATGGGCACGGTGGGGGAGCCCAGGTACCCCTAAAGGATTCTGACTGAGGTCTAACACCGCATCATAAACACAAAGAGAAACACACACACACATACACATACACACACACATACACACACACACACACACACTGATAAATATAAAAAGAGCGCTTGCTCTTGCAGAGGACCCAGGTTTAGTTCCCTGCATCTGCACAGTGGCTCACAACATCTATAATGCCAGTACCAGAAAATCTGATACCTTTTACATACATCCTTAGGCACCAATCATGCACATGGTACAGGCAAAACACTTGTACACATAAAATAAACTCAAAGAAAACCTGTCTCACCATGGCCAGCTGGCAGGCAGTCCTTGTTTGTTCATGGATAAAGCAAATGTGGCATACTACTCCTGATTCCTGGACACAGGAGAGGAGGAAAGCCGGAATTATTCTAAGTTAGCAGACCACTGCCAAGTACTACCTATGGGATTTACATTTTTTTTTCTCTTCTTTGTTTCGGGAAGGGGGGCAGTCGCTGTCACACTGAGGAAGGCATCTAAGGCTTTAGATACAGTAGGCCAACAGCATACCACATCCCCAGCCCTCAGTCAGCTCATCTACTCAGTGCTACCCTATATAGTAGGCCTCAGAGTGAAGAGATAAATCAAACCAGGAAAAAACGGCAGGTTTCAGCGTAGTACCCTAGCAATTCAGCCACAGAACCTACACTAAATTACTAAATTTAGCACACTAAAGTACTAAATTACTCCCTAAGACGCGAATCAGTGGCCTACAATGAGCTCAGTCTGAAAATACGACCCAGCCAGGTGGTGGCAGACAGGCCTTTAATCCCAGCACTCAGGAGGCAGAGGCAGGCAGATCTTTGTGTGTTTGAGGCCAGCCTGGTCTACAAGAGCAAGTTCCAGGACAGGCTCCAAAGCTACAGAGAAACCTTGTCTAGAAAAACTGGAAAAAAGAAAGAAAGAAAGGAAGGAAGGAAGGAAGGAAGAAAGAGAGAGAGAGAAAGAGAGAGGGAGAGAGAAAGAAAGGAAGAAAGAAAGAGAAAGAGGAAAGGAAAGGAAAAGAAAAGAAAAAAAAGAAAAAAGAAAAGAAAAGACGACCCCTCTCATCTTTCCTCTCCTCATAAGACTCAAATGCAGAGGACTCTTGGGAGATAACTCAGGGGTAGAGTGCTTGCTTCCAACACACAAGGCCTTGGACTGGAATTCCAGCACTAGAAGAGGGAGTCCAAAAGCGAAAGTCCCTCTTACCAAGCAAACTGGTTTTTTTGTTTGTTTGTTTGTTTTTGTTTTGTTTTTTCGAGACAGAGTTTCTCTGTAGCTTTGGGGCCTGTCCTGGAACTAGCTCTTGTAGACCAGACTGGCCTCGAACTCACAGAGATCCGCCTGCCTTTGCCTCCTGAGTGCTGGGATTAAAGGCGTGCGCCACCACTGCCCGGTGCAAACTGTTTTGTGACTTTCCTGCTTCTAACTCAGGGCAGCAGAGATCAGTGACACCTGGCGCAATGCCGGGTGTGGCGGCTGCAGGAGCTGGAGGCAGCCTGGATCTCCTCTCCAAAGATGAGCTGAGTTGGCTAGGCAACTGAGCTTTACTCGCAGATCAGCCTAATACAGCTGGGAAAATGCAGGTCAGGAGGGAAATGTCTGGCGGCGCTTAACACTCTTTCATCCCTTGTGTGAATAACCACTGGGAGGAGGGTACAGAAGCTGCCCCATTAGTCACTGAGGCAGAAGGACAAAGCACCAGGTTAAGAGGTCACTTCGGGTGTTAAAACTGGAGAGAACTGGGAAAAGCCTGTAGCCTGTTATAAAATCGTGACTGACACACTGAGGACGGGAGCCGCACCGGAGCAATTAGAATGGGAGGGTGAGATGGAGGTGTGAGCCACTCCTGCCGCCCCCCCCCCCCCGCAAAGTGCTGTTGATAGCCCCAACTTGGTGTATGCTAGAATAGCTCTCTACCAGTGAGGTACACAGCCAGCCCCCAGACAAAAGGCTTTGAAGGGGACTGGTGATGCAGGAGTCTGAACCGCTGCTACTGCTGAGATGGGATTAGAAGAGACACATATTAACTGAAGATCAATGCATGCGTTGGCATTGCAGCCTGGAGGCTGAGGCAGGAGAATCACCCACAAATTCAAGGTCAGCTTGGGTTACATAGTGAATTCCTGGTCAGTATGGATGCAAATAGAAACTTTGTTTCAAAAAAAGAAAAAAAAGACACACTACACACTAAAAGTGCTATTTATAGATAATGAGAGTGGTTTAGCACTCGAATCTTTCCCAATAATTACAAACAAACTAGCAAAGCAAGCCTCAAGGGTAAGAAAGCTGCATCCTGGAATGCAGAGATGGATCCGCAGGTAAGACCTCAGACTGCTCTGCAGAGGACCCCCAGTTCCCTGCACCCACAAGACTGCTCACAAACGTTCTGTAACTGCAGTTCCAGAATCCAACACCCTCCTCAGACACCAGTCACACGATTCCCTGCACAGACGTAAAAGAAGGCAAAACACCCAACACAGAAAAATGAAAATTTTTTTTAAAAAATGATTTTAAAAGAAACCTGTGAGGCTGGAGACATGGCTCAATGGTTAGGAGCACTGGCTGCTCTTGCAGAGGATCCAAGTTCAATTCCCAGCACCCACATGGAGGCTTACAAACATCTGTAACTCCAGTTCCTGGGAACAGGAAACCTTCTTCTGGCCTCCATTGGCACCTGTACTCACACAAATATACACATAAGAGAAATATAAGTTTAAAAATAACACTGTAACCTCACAAAGAAGGGGTGGGCCTGAATTTAACAACATAGGCATAATCTATGCGTGGTGGTTTCTATTAACTGCATGGATCCATCTCTTCTCCCTGGACTAATTAACATCAAACTGCTGCTCCTTTTCAGGCCAAGCTGATTTTTAGTCTTTCACAGTAAAGAGTAGTAAATGTCCCCGTGCTCGGAAAAATAAGGATTACAATTCATAGAAAAAAGAAAGTAACTTGGTTAATTTTTTTCCACATATATAATAGTAATGTTGGGTTTCTACGTAACGCAACAACGTTTCCTCCATCCATTTGACTCCCTCGCATTCCCGAAGATGAACAAGCTCGGGATAAAGGACGAATCACGAACCGGGAAGGTGCGGGGCTAGGCGGCCTCGGGACACACCCCCGCGACCAGTCACTCCCACCACTTCCACACACACAGCCTGCTGGAAATGTTAAGCCGCGGACAGAGACACTTTTCGCCACAGGAGGGACAAGCCTGAGAGGCGACGGCCACCCCGGGCAGCCTTAAGGGCGCGCGGACAAACCCGTTCTGCCACTGCGGCTGTGCCGTCTTTTTGTTCGGGGGGCCTTCACTCTGGGGCTCGCACACGTAACTCGGAGCCATGCTGGGCCTCTGAGCCGTGCAGCGGGAGGACGAAGGACACGGTGGGGTACCCAGTGTCCACTCAGCGTCACCGACTCCAAGTCTCTCAAACTAACTAACGGAAAGCCAAATTCGCACCGCCCCCTCTCCCTTTTACACAGTGCCGGCGACCAACTCACCTCTCTCAGCCGCCCGGCGCTAGGCAGCCGGAAAGATGCCGCGCGCAGACCGGTGGGAAATGTAGTCCAACGTGGGAGAGATTGGGTCGCCCGCCTCGGAGTGCGCAAGCGTGATGGGGTCTTGAGGGGGCGGAGGCCTCTGGGTGTGATCGAGGACCAGCTGGAAGGGCTGGGACATCCTCTAACCCCCACCCCACTGAGCAAGCCTGGGTCTTCCAGGGTTTGCGTTGTTGAACTACTGGGGTTAAAAACTTGCGCTCCCATCATCATAGGCTCAATATGTGAGACAAGCACACAGTAGGTACTCGAAATACACATCCCAGTGAGGGGGTGTAGGCATATATCAGGGCACTCAGTAAAAACATCCTCGAGGGGCTGAAGAGATGGCTCAGCGTTAAGAGCACTGCCCTCTCTTCCAGAGGACCTGGGTTCAATTCTCAGGACCCAAATGGCAGCTCACAACTGTCTATAACTTCAGTTCTAGGGAACCTGACACCCTCACACAGACATACGTGCAGGCAAAACGCTAATGCATATAAAATAAAAACAAGCTGCTTTTTAAAGACATCCTCTAAAAGAGGAGCAGTGCGGTCTATGCATGGAAAGGTTGCTCAGGCTCTTAGGCGTTCTCTCTTTTCTTTCTTCCCACTGTTCCTTCTTGCCATCCCTTCCAGTCAGTGAGTGTATTGTTTTATTGGTTGATATTGCTTTTGTTCTTTAAAAAGACGATATGTTGGGATGCCCCGAGTGGCCTGCAAGCCAGGCAGAGGCTGCTGCCAGAGCAGTGCAGGTTCCCCGGGCAAGCAGTAGAGTCAGGCGGCTGGATGTGGTGGACGGCAGAGTAAATGGACATAAGGCTACACATATTACTTAGAGAAGAGGGAGACGTTTATTACTTAAAGAAGAGGAAAACAGAGAGACATGAAGAGAAACATAGGGAGGGACAGAGACACGTGTACACACGCCTAGAGACGGACAGAAGAGAGAGAGTTAAGATGGCGACCAGGAGGTCAGAAGTGGCTGGGAGTGGGCGTGGTTAGTCCTTAAAGGGACCGCAAAGGAATAACAATTGCTGATGATGAAGTTAAGGCCTCCACGACTAGAAAGATAATTCTGCTTTTTTTTTCTAACATCTTTGTATTTGTGCCAGACCTCATAGCACAAATCCCAACTTCAGGAGGCTGAGGCAGGAAGACTGCAAATTCAAGATGAATGAAAATAAATAAAATGAGGACACTGTAAGCACTGGAGCTTACAAAATGGCTTCGTAATGGGTGCAAGAAAAGGTTCACGTGAGGGGCCATAACACCCTCATATCACAAAACACCCTTGCTTTCTCTTGGCCTGATCTGGACACTCACATTTCTACCCAGCTTACTTGGACAGTCCACACCAAGGGTTCTGGGACAGCCCACATTTATTTGGCCAGGCTCTGGCCTCTCCCTTATTTTCTTTGTCTCTTCCTAAATACAAACTTATACAATATGCAGATGATCTTCTCTTTTGTAGTCTGCAAATTAGCCAGGCAGACATCCCTACCTTATTAATCTTTCTGTCCAGCTGGGGGTATAGGCTCTCACCCTCTAAGGTCCAGCTGTCCACTCCACAGGTTACATATCTGGGATTACCTATCACTCAAATTTATAAGGCCATTACCCTAACTAGAAAACAATCCAATCACTCACAGTCCTCACCACAAAGGATGAAATCCTGTCCTTCCTAGGGAGGGCCAGCTTCTTACACTCTTGGAGTCCTTCTTTCTCTCTTCTACCCACCCCTACAAAGATAACCCTTGGACCCTCACATGAACCTCTTCTTTTACCTGTTACCAACCATTTCATAGGCTCCAAAGCTTACAGACTGAAGCATAATTAAAATAAACAAAAAAAACTCAGAGACAGAAATTGGGGTTCAACTGGAAATGACTAAAACCCCTCTTCACTTAATTGCGGGGCAGCCTAAGGGTTTAATTACTGCTTAGATAATGGAACTGGTATTTGATAACAGCAATGTCATTTGGACTCTCACCCAACAGAAAAGCTTTTCTTGTCTTTTGATTAATGTGGATCTTTAAAAATTGTGATATGTTAAATTATGAATTTATTGTTTATTCCTATTCTAGAATTATGATACTGACCTGAAAATGTTTGTAACTGCTTATAAGATGCTGAGGAAAGTTTGACACACCCTGTAAATGTTTGGATTTAATGCATGTGTTAAGAATGCTAGATTTTGATACAGTATAAAATTGTTAAGAGGTGCTCTAGACAGCTGAAGAAACATTTTTAACTCAGGTGACCCTCCTCTCTTTAAATAGGAGACTACAGTCTTAAGAAGCATGATTATGCATAAAACATTATGATCTCTCCTGACTAGAAAGTTTGGCTCCAAGAGACAGAGCTCAGAAGTATCTCTCCCTTAATCTCTTTTGTTTACAGAGGTCAACAGTCAGAGACGGGTTTAAAGCTTCTTCTCCCAAGATGCCTAAGACAGGAGCTTGCGTGAATGTAGAATGCCTGTTCCAAGGACGGGTAAATTTGGGTAAATAAAGAAGTCTTTGCCTAAGGCAGACGTTGTCATCTCTCCTATTGCAGAAGCACAGGTTTTATTAAAATCAATAAGAGGGAATGGATCTTAGGGCCGTATTATACATGCCCATATTTCTACATTGTATGGTGGCCAGAATTTCAGGGCACAATTTACACCTGCCACACAGGAGGTGGTCACCTTGCCTTTTGAGACAAACTGACACCATCCTATACAAATGGGTCAGGATACGCTAATGTCACTCTGTTCCCTCTTTGTAATTTGGGAGATTGCCTGGGGAAGAGGTGTTAGTTAGTTCAGTCTATGTGACAGAGTAGCCATAGTCGTGGAAGTGACCTAAGTCCACTACCCAGGAAACAGAATGCTAATGAACTTCCCCCTCAGTTTACCTTTAGATATAAAAGCTGTTTGGATAATTTACGCAGGTGATCTTCAGAATTTGAATGAACCCTGAGGCTCTCTCCTGATATTGCCATGTGAACTGTGCCTCAATTATTGCCACACCTCCTCACTGGTCCAAAAGGTAATTTATGTCAGGACTGGACCACGATAATTCACTAAAGAAAAACAGCCAGTCACTGGCTCTACCTCAGTCTCATTCTGAGATTCCTAGAGGCAGGATCACCATTTTTGGGCTGAGGTAGAGGTAAGAGCCAGTCTGAGTTTTTATCAGTTGTGCTTCAACAGACAGTACTGCTCCTAAGGGGTTGAGGTTTTTATTATAGATATGAGGGAGAGCACAGGCAGAGACATCTGAAGGAGTCCAGAGTGAACATGATTAGAAAACTGAACTGGGCCGTGTGAGGACAGGCAACAGGGAGAGCCAGAGCCAAGAGGTCAGGGGAACGGGAGCCAGGAGCAGTGGCCAATAGGTAAAATAATAATAATAATAATAATAATAATAATAATAATAATAATACCATGTAGCCAAAATGACTAGGTTATATAGGGACCAGAGAAGCTAAGGGAAGGGAAGGCCAGCTCTGGGATGGAGAGTTTGGGATAAAGGGGTGGGGTATGCCTGTCAAGCTTTCTCTGTAACAGGTTCTGGGGATACTGAGAGAAGCTGATGGACAGTGTCTGCTTTGATATGTTAACGGGGAACCCAGCCCCTTTTTTTTGTCTGAGTTTGAAACCTAACACAAGACTTGTGTGGGCTACAGAGTGAATTCAAGGTCAGTGTATTAGTCAGGATTCTCTAGAGGACCAGACTGATAAAATGAATGTATGTGTGATTTATTATTTCTAGTAGTTTTTATTGATTATTTAATTAATACAATTATAAATCACATACATTATTTACTAGAATATTAGTAAATATTCTATTGGTCCAGCTATTCCAACAATGGCTATCTACCAATGAAATGCCCAAGAACCCAGTCTGTGAAGCTGAATGTCTCAGCTGACCTTTAGTATGCGCCAGAATCCTAAAAAAGTAGACTCTAATGCTAGTGAAGGAATGGACTGGCTAGCAAGAGACAGAGCAAGCTGGCGAAGAGAACTTTCCTCTTCCATGTCCTTTATATATACACGATGCCACCAAAAGGTGTGGCCTGTAATGGTCTGCTCTGGCCCTTTAAGAGACAAGTCACGCCCACTCCCTCCCCCATCCTCCAAAGCAAGCTGATCTTCAGCTTCCAGCCTGAGTCCTTCCCTTTTTGTCTCCCTCTTGCAGCGCCAACTTCTGTCTCTCCCTCCTCCCCTTCCTTTGGGTTTGTTCCACACATTCCTAAGGAACCCTTTTATTAGAAATGCCAAGTCAGTATTGTCAGGTGCCCCCTGGCACCTTGATGTGCTCTTTCCTAGGCTGTGTCAGTGTGCTGCTTTGTACTGGGCTGGTTAGAACAGCATGGCATTGGCGCAGAAATGAGTAAGCAGACCACTGGAACAGCATAACGAGAAAGGCCGATAGAGCCCGTGATTTACGACGAAGGTTCCTTTGCAGTGTGTCTGGAAAGTGATGAGAAGTGCTTACATGCACATACATGTGTGTTTATGTGTGCGCACCATATGCGTACCTGGTGTGTACTTGGCAACAGATCACCTGAAACTGAAGTTCCACATAGTTGTGAACCTCCATGTGCGTGCTGGGAAACATACCTAGGTCCTCAACCGCTGAGCCATCCCTCAGCACCTTCCCTTCCTTTTTTGAGGCACTGTCTCACCGTGTAATTTTTGACCGTCCCAGAACTCACTCTGTGCTACAACAGGCTGTCCTGGAACTTGAGCCCACTGAGATTCGCCTGCCTCTGCATTGGGGAAGAACAAGTCACATGTCTTCATAGATCAAAAGTTATCAGTGTTTTCAATAAGCAACAATGGGAACAAAACAAAACAGAAACAGAAACATGGGAAAGACATAAATTAGCAAGTTGCATTGTTTAATCGTGGAGTGGCTATTTAAAGATATTCAACACATTATTAATCAAAAAAAAATATGAGAACACCAGGAGTTCAAGGCCAGCCTAAGTTACCTAATACCCTGTCTCAAAATACCACCACCACACACGTTCCAGGAACGGGGACAGAAGGAGC